TCTCTCTCTCTCTCTCTCTCTCTCTCTCTCTCTCCTACATCCTTCCTTTCTGTTTTCTGTTTCAAACACGAAAATCGATGAGTGAGCTCACTTCAAAGTTCACTTTCGCGAAACGATCTGAGTATTCCATTACGGGAACAAAACCAGCTGATGGGGATTACCAGTGAACGGCAAAGACAAGGCGGCCACTGCTAGAAACGTCAGAAGTGAGAAAAGGGAAACTGATCCGCTTCATTTTTCCAAAGGAGTCTCTGCAAAAAGCTCGCTCTACAGCTCGTAGTTTCTGAATTAAGCTTCATGAATAATTAGGTGGATTCTCACTGCCCTGCTGTGTGACGTATGGGCGCGTGGCTCAGACGTTTAGGGTATTCTTCCGGCTCCGGCTTCATTTTACACTTGTTCTGAGCTTGCGAATTGTCCACAACATGAATTAATAGTAGGTGTTTACATATTTAGACAGTCACACTAAGGGATACGTCACTAAAAAGATATAAACGTTTGAAAATTAAACAGACAAACAGGTAGAGAGATAATAGATGAGCAAAAGGATAGACGGGCAGATAGACAGAAAAACAGAGACGGGGTATAAAGAGAGGATGGATGGATGGATGGGTGGATGGATGGGTGGATGGATGGGTGGGTGGATGGATGGATGGATGGATGGATGGATGGATGGATGGATGGAGCGATGGATGGAGGGATGGAGGGATGGATGGAGGGATGGGTGGAGGGATGGGTGGAGGGATGGATGGAGGGATGGGTGGAGGTATGGGTGGAGGGATGGATGGAGGGATGGATAGAGGGATGGGTGGAGGGATAGGGCGGTAGATATGTATACAGATGGACATGCACTCAAATCAGCACACAAACAGACAGAAAAAGAAAAGCAAGGAGTAAGAGGTGGAGCTCAACTATGTGACAAACAACTCACATTAACGACTATAGTTTGTTTATTTATTTGTTTGTATGTTTTTTGTCTATTTGTCTGTTTGATTGAATAAAGCGACGCCCTACGTCTGAAAGAAAGATAGGCAGACAAAAGCAACAAAACGAAATAAAAGAGATTAGGCCTACGAGTATGTTCGTTTGTTTGTTTGTTTGAATAAAGATACTAAAGAAAGATAGACAAAAGCAGCAAAGCGAAAAACATGAATTTAGGCCTACCAGTGGCGCTCTCCAGCCACCTGTGTACATCAGTGGCGGTCCACATTAACATAAATTATCCTAAGTTTGTTTTAATTACGTTTCAGTCTTACCTAGCTCGGTTGGACTCTTCCTGCTGCAAATTTCTCGCCCTCTCCATGACGCTCCTGATCTGGGCGATCTCCTCAGCCGTCAGGTGGCTCAAATCCGGTTCGGGGGCCTCCATTGGCGATGGCGCTCTCGTGCTTTCTACAGATGACCTGACTCGGGAATGGATGGAGTACATAGACGGGTACTCAGAGATGGGCGTGCTTTCTTCAGAGGATGGGACGCTTCCCTCGTTTCCCATTCCTGTGTAACCCGTGAAGGAGACGGCGAGAAGGATAAGTAGGGCGTGGAGAGAGAAGAGAAAGAAAAGGACGTAGATCAAGAGAAAGTCCACAGAGGCGGGGGAGGTGAGAAGAGATGTGCCCGACGGGGACACGATTCTGTTCGGGCCTTCTGTTAGATATCCAGAACGTTCGCCTCCGATTTGAGGTGATGGATAATAACGGAGATTTTGAGGATTCCCGAACAAGTCTCTGTGGTGGCAGCCATATTGGTCGAGGTTGGAGTCTAAAAACCTGAATTTGTCAATAATATGCGGAACAAGCCGATGAGGAGTTGATGTTCTTTTAAATCCACAGACTCCAGCAGGGCGTTGAGGGTGCTCGGCAAGCTCCTTAGGTAACCCGAACCAGAAAAATGTCCTCGGGTAAAGGTCCGGGTAGCTGTGCTTTTGGTGCCTAGCCCTTGTGGTGGGCGTTTGGAAGGTGTCCGTGCGAGTGACACGATCTGTTCGGTGGAGCCATCTTGTCTGCGAGTGTGTGCGCTGTGTCATTGCCTCATGCTGGCAGAGCAGGGTTACATCATCTAGGGAAGAACATAAATAAATAAATAAATAAATAAATAAATGAATTAATGAATAAATACGTAAATAAGTAAATGAGTAAACGAATAAATGAACAAATGAACAGATGAACAGATCAATAGATGAATAAATTAATAACTAAATAAATGAATAAAAGAATGTATACGATTTATTCGCTCTTTTCGAAAAATCTATCTTATCTTAAATGCAAGCCAATGTTTAGCATCCAAAATGTTGTTCTTTTTGACACTCTTAACGCTCATGTTCTAATCAATTTCGCGTGTTTTCGAGATAGTAAAAAATAGGACACATCAAACAAAATCACATTACCTGTTTTCATATTATCAGAGAATAAAATGTCAACACAATTCATTCAGCTTTTTTTTTTCTCTTTTCTTTTGGTCATGGAACAACTTCCTGTTTCCAAGCTAGAGTTATCGCGTTCTGCCCGGGGACACGCCCCAGCGATCGCCCATTTGAAAGCTGTCGTTATTGACTATGCTTGACGGCCCCGTTCTAATGAGACTGAGTGGCAACTTGACCGCTGAACCAGAGGAGTAACACGAGAAGCGTGAGTGCTTGGCTTAGTCAGGTCAGGAAATTGATTTAACCGATAAATAGATCGCTAGCTAGATGGATGGATAGATGGATGGATAAATGGATGGATAGATAGATGGATAGATTGACAGACAGACTAACACTGACTAGCAAACAAATAGATAAGTAGTTAGATAGAGATATGCTGACAGACTGGCAAACAGACCGATAGAAACATATAGATCGATAGATGGACAGAAGCCGGACCTCCGAATCCAACCTTTATCTCCTTTTGGAGGAGAGCCTTGAAAACTTTGAAAACTGTGCGTGTTCAAAGTGTCCAGAAGGGGGTTCGTTTGTTTTGGTAAGAGTTTTAAGCCGCTCTCAACTGCATAGGGTCATCTGAGCGCGCATTAGATTTCGAACAGGACACTACACTAACTAACGGCACCTTGATCATCCTAGTTTTGGTCAGAGATATATTAAACGCTCAGACGAGGAGTTTCGAGACCTCGATGGTAGAAAATACTTTTAAAAGAAAAAAAAATGTATAAAGAAAAGACAAGGCAAAACAAATAAGTAGGCGTTCGTTGCCAGCCTCTTTGGTGTAGACGGATGATCAAAGGGTCAAGACACAAAGGCTCAGGGTTTGAATCTGAAATGTGTCCGTACATTTGCTGATCTTCTAAAGATGTTCTTTCTCTCAAATAATTGTTATGTAGGGAGAACAAAGTTTTCGAATAATTACAGTTATATCTGGTAGGGTATTAATTTTACCCCTAAAAAGAATTTTTTAAAACTAAAGCTGCAAAAAGCCTGACGTATTAGTGAAGTCGTTAAACAAATCTCTCTCTCTCTCTCTCTCTCTCTCTCTCTCTCTCTCTCTCTCTCTCTCT